AATTGGGAAGTTGATTGGTTTGAAAGGATGCCTAGTCCTTTCCAAGCCTGAGATAATGTAATCCAAGCTTAACAACCCTCTCCCCAGCCCCACCCCCGTAAGAGGCTTTCACCCCATTTGTTCCTGCTTTCTCTCTCTATAGCAGCCATGCAGCCCTAGCAGCTGCCTGTGGCCACCATGCAGACTCCAAGCAAGAGCCTGGGTGTAGCAATGCAGCACCTATCTGAGCGCAGCCAGGAACAGAGACTAAGGCAGCTGGAAGGGGCCAAAGACTGAACTGAACTAAGCTTTGGTATGGGCTGAACTGATGGCACAGAATTTTGGGCTGTGGCCTTTCTTCTGGGCTTGATGAAGACAAGGCTGGACTTTTTCCTCAGCGGGACAGGCAGAGATGAGTCATGCGGGGCAACTTTCCATTTCCATCCCAATAAATCTCACCACCACACCTCAACCTCTCATGCCTGGGTCCCCAGAAACGCTTGTCTCAGGGCTCTGTGAAAGGACCCCATTTTCACTTCCAACAAGTAGACATCATTATTAGCTTCTTGCAGCCCTTTTTCTATCCTTGGAACTCAGCAGGTTCAGTAGGTGTCTGAATAGATGCCTGATGCATGAACGGCTGCTCCTTCTCACCAGGGATTCTAAAAGGTTGTCTTTGTTCTTTACCTTCTCCCAGACTTCTCTCTAGCTGGGAACTCACCTTCAGAGATCCCAGAGAGTCTACTGACCCTTACTCCTCCCCCCCCACCCCCCACAAATGGCCTGAAATACTTTCTCCTCTAAGAAGTTCTCCCAAGTCCAGTGAATCTACAACATCTCCAATCATAGTGGGCCAAACCTTCCTTCCTGTTGCCTAACCCACTGGCTATGAGGTATGCAGGTTGGGTCTGGGCTTTCCCAGGGAGAGGAAGAAGGATGCTCAGTGGTGACTGGGCAACCTCAGGCCACACACGTGGTTTGCTCAATTCAGACCCTGTTCTGCAGCTCCTCTTTGGCAGCTCCTTTCCTGCCCTTCCCCAGTACTCCCTTGACCCTGAGCCTTCCATGGCTCACATAGGCTAGCTCTTCAGATGTGACTCATAGTCCCTCTTACTGGCCTAGTTTGGTGTGTACAGTAAGTGCCCTGCAAATGCTTGGCGACTGAATGAGAACCATGGCTCAGCCGGGTTTGTCCTGGCATAGAGCTGAGGTTTAAGTCTCCATGGAGACAGAGGGATGGATTTCAGGTCAAATTAATACCTGAGTGAGGTGGGAGTTAGGTTCTCTCCAGTGGATGGAGTGGCTCGTGTCATCTAAGACAGGAGAACCCTGGGTCAGAGTCTAATATGAGCCTTCCTGCTGAGGATGCTGCCCCTGTAAGAAGCCTGGGCTCTGAGGAGCCTGGACACCTGATGTCAGGCGCAGGCAGTGCAGGATGGCTTCCCAGGGACGAGGAGAGAGTCCCTGAAACTTTTAGTTCTGCATCTTGGTAGTAGCAGTTTCCCTCACTCCTCATCCCTGCTGTAGCCCCAAAGAGAAAACTCACCAAGCAGGGAACACGCCCTGACCCCACAGAGCTGTATGGGAGCACAGTATAATATCGAGGTGGTGGTGAGGGGGACACATTTGGATTAAAGAACATCTACTTTGCAACACAAGGCTGAGGGATTAGCCTGCGGGGAAAACCATGAGCCAGCAGTTTGCAGCAAAGCTGGCAGGCTGCAGGGATGTTGATCCCCAGGATCATGTCCCAGAGGGAGAACCCCCCACCCCCACCCCCAGGCCAGGCTGGCACTCAATGGCTAGTTCGGGGTTGGGGGATTAAGATCGAACCACGACGAATGTGTACACACACGCTCGCGCACTCACATGCGTGCACACACATGCATGCACACATACACTCATTTTCTCTCTCCTCTCTGTACTGGCTCCTGTGCCCGAATCTCAAGGCTGCCTCCTCCACTGGAAAGTCTCTTGGGAGCCTGGGTTGCTCCTTCCATGGAAGCCCCATGCTAGCCATAGCCTACTCAGCGAGACCAGGGATGTGGACGGGGATAGCACATGGTCCAGCTCTCCATACACCTCGGACTTGGCACTGACCCACATCCTTGCATCTTTTCTGCCTCTGCCTTTCATCACCTCACTTCCCTCCCCAGGTCTGAGTCTCTTCCCTTTTCCTCCAATCCTTCCAGTCCTCTAATTCCTGCTAGCCTTTCTCTACCTCCCTTTTGAACAAGACCCTCAACATCTGTCTTTCTTTTCCTTTCCCTTTCTTCTATTTCTCCTTTCTCCTCTGGCTTTCTCTTGCCATCTTTCTCATCATATTACTCCTTTTGACAGATCCTTACTGGCCGCCTCTCATGCACAAGGCCCTGTGACAACGGCTGCTGGGCATGGGCTATAATAATATATAAAATACTGTCTCTACTCAAATCATGGTTGTGATCTAGGAGAGGAAAATGAGGCGTAGGCACGTGATTACAATATAGAGTCACGCGTGCTATTACCACACAAATGGCCCAAAGTGCTCCAGCTATTAGTTGGGAGAGAAAAGTCCATTCTGGGTAGAGTGGCAGGGAGGCTCCCCTGGGAGGGCAGCCCTGTTACTGCCCTTGGGGAAGTGCTGGATTTGGTCCTGTAGAGACGTGGGGGCGGCACCAAACAGATGAGTGTGTGCAAGTGTGTGATTGTGTGCATGTATGATCATTCGTACGAATGCATGTATGCACACATACATATGTGTGATTGCATGTGCGTGCATGTGCAATTATGTGAGTGCATGTGTGTACTTGTGCGACTGCATGCGTGTGGTTGTGTATGTGCATGTGTGTGTGTGAGGGAGGCTGAGGACAGCCAGAGCAGGCTGGAGAGCAGGGGAGAAAGCCCTGGCAGCAGCCTGTGTGCAATCACCTTATTTACCACTGGCGCCTGGACTAAGTAGGTGGTGCTGTAGAGGAAACGAAAGGCCGAGTTTGGGAAATGCCTCTCTTTCCTGCTGCCTTTGTTTTTGCCGATTGTCTGTTTCTTTCTGAGTGGATCAGAGCCTTTCTGCAATGGTCGCCTCAGGGCCCGCTTCGTGGCAGCAGAGATCTGATGAGGGTCATGATAGGAACCAAAGTGCTTCCTCTCTCCTTGGATCTCAGAGGCACTGAATGCGGGGACCCCAGGGGCTGGCTTCACAGCCAGCGTCTGAGACCTCGCTCATCCAGAGCCCGCTGCGTCTCTGCCAGCTCCACAGTGACCCTGCTGCCCAGACTCACATGTCAGCCTCAGGACCCCAACCCTGAGGGGCCGTTGTGACTGCCCAGCCCCCTGGCCTCCTCCTGTCCCCACTGTCCTGGTGCACCCCCAACACCAGAGCTTGGGGTAGAGTTGGGAGGGCCCAGGAGGGGAAACCCAGCACCTCTCTAAGGACCTGATTATTTCCAAAGACTGTGCTAATTTTCTGATATGATCCTCACATCTCTGTGAGGCACTAAACCCTCATTACTTTTCCTGACCGATGCATTCTAATTAGATCAACACTTAAAAAAAATTCACAATAGCCACAGGATGGCTTTCCATCTCATTAACTCCTCACTTATTATTTTCATGAAAATTACTGATAAAAATGTGCATCTCCATTTGGTGAGGCCTCACAGTCTCCTCGGCGCCTATCTTGCATCTCTCCCGTCACCCGGGCTGCGCAGCGTCGCCATGGTAACCCACAATAATAGAAACTAATAAATTACAAACGAGATGCTCGTTGAGCAATTATTGTCCTCTTTTATGCAAGTTTCTTGCTAATTTTGATCATAAGGGAAAGTACAATAAGACTCTGAAGGAATGAGTCTATTTCAAGAGAATATTAGCAAGCAGAAGTCTGGGCGGCTGTTTTCAGATCTGTAATAAAGTGATTTGGTGATTTCAAGCAATGGGAAGAGGAAATAAACTTCTTGCCTCATGCCCCGTGCACGGTCGTGTCCCACAGAGATCCCACTGGGGTGGCTGGATGTGATGCTTGTTGTCAAAATGTGCAAGGCATGCTGGCCTGTCCCTTCTCCTGCCTCTACCAACTTAGATTGTATGTATTGGTCCTTAAAACTTAAGGATTGAAAACGGCACCTTTCTTAGGCACTCTTTCCAGCTCCTCTCACCAATTCTTTTTATCCCCCCACCAATCATTCTTGGAAGTTTTACCTGTGTCCCCAAGCCTGATTGTCTTATGAGCAGAGGCCACTGTAAACCTCCTGGGGATCCTCCCATGGGTCTGTCCTGGACTCGGGAACTCGGTGGGAGAGGAAGAAATCGGGAAGCCTATGGCTTATGTGGGTACCAGTGAGTATGATGGAAAGGCTTCACCAGGCAGCTTTCTCAGTTTGTAGGTTCTGGGAAAATATTCTGTCCATTCTCACCCTGAACACACAGCTACTGTTTCCACATTCCCCAGTTCCTAGGATGAAGGTGGCAGGTGACCCTTGAGAAACGGTGACTTGAGGTGACATTTACAGTGGCCCTGAACCTTAGGGAGACAGATGGGCTTGGGAAGGATGAGCAAGTAAACAATGACCAGGGAGAAACGCCTCAGGGGAAGCAGTCTTCATCTACTAGGTGGGCGGGGTTCAGGACCACTTCCCCGAACCCTCCTCCCAGGAAACCAGGAGCTCAGTGAGCCTTCTCGAGAAGTCCATGGGCTGGGCTGGGCCCTTTACCACCTCTGTCCCCGCCTCACCCTCCAGGAAAGCATTCCATCTACTTAACTCTTATGCTCATTCCTCAGCCAAGACGCCAAGAATCACAATCACATTGTCCCTCTCAGCTCTGGTCACCTTCTAGGCACCACTACTGCTGTCGTGGTGAGCACTGGTCAGAAAGGGACTGTGGTGCTTGATGAACAGGAGGAAGAGTTGACTAGAGTAGGAGCCTCCCGGGGAAAGGATCCAATGAGTCTAATCCATTGTCCTACGTCACCAGGACCTTCGGACATTCCTACACCTGGCTTTTCCTAAGGCCTAGGAGATAGGACCCCGGCCTGTGGTTACCTGTGAGTGAAGATTTATGGAGGGCTGGTTGGGGGAGTAGGGCCCCCCGAGATCATTCCTGAGCAGGTTGTCGCTGTGCATCTTGGTTTTGAGGCAGGTGATGTAACGGTTACAAAAGTCCTTGCAGAGTTCATTGACTTTCTCCAACTCCAGCAGGTGGATTCTCAGGACCTGGATTGCCTTCACCATCTGCGGGGAGGGAGGAGAGGTGAGCCCAGGTGTTTATATCACATCCCCTTGCTGCCTCGACCTCCAAGCCCCAGGCACACCAGGGGACAGGAGCCCATGCCCCGCCCTAGGTATATGCTTTCTCATCAACATGGTTTGAATTTTCATGACCAACTGCTGATTGCTTGCTGCCTTGAGCCCATTGTTGTCACAGCTGCTCTTGGGCAGTGGTGGTATTCTGAGAGCGGTACTGGCCTTAAAGGTAGAAGACCAGGCCCCCAACCCCCAGGCCTGCCATTTATGATCTGTTTGGCCTTGGGCAATTACTTAAGCAATCTGTGGCTTACTGTCTGACAAATAGGGATAAAGACATCCTCCCTAACAACTGTGCAGGTTGGTTAAGAGGGTCCTATGAGTGGATGCACAAGCTGCAAAGAGTGAAGCCTGAATGAGGGCTAGGGAGATAAGATTAGACTTCCTTGCAAGTGCCTCAGGGGTCAGGGACTGTCTAAGCCTGCTGAGTGTATCACGAGACACAGGTCACTTTGCAGATGCTCACTGATCCTCCCTGACTGAATGACTTAGCTAGGCCTTGGAAAACCTAACTGTGGTGGCCTTTTCCGTGACCTTTGGGTTGAACGTGTACCTGTCACCTCTTCAAGTGGACAGTCCTAATGGCAAGAAGCTATTTCTCAATAGAAATTTTTCTCTTTATCGTTGTTTTTATTATAAAGAGAAAGTGCATGGGATATATGGAAAATAGAGGATGGAAAACAACAAAAAAAATGGCCCTTGATCCAATCATCCTAAAACAATGATAAATGTTCTTTTTCCACATGCATGTGTTTTAACACAGTTTTAGTCACATGTGCATACAAGTTTGTGTCCTGTTTTGCCCTTAGTTTACCAGTTGTAGTTTTCTAAGTGGCAAAATTGTTCTCTCTGTTCTCCCTTCTAGACCATGATCTTCTAGAGGCAGGAATGGTGTCTAATTTGCTCACCGTGTTATCCTCAGCACCAACACATGTGTATACTGATTAAATGTTTATTGAATGGGTGGAAGTTATTTAGAAAATATATTTTCTATTTTTTTATTGATTTTTAGAGAGGAAGAGAGAGGGCTAGAGGGATAAAAACATCGATGAGAAACATCAATCAGCTGCTTCCTGCACACCCCCTACTAGGGTTGGAGCCCACAACCCGGGTATGTGGCCTTACCAGGAACTGAACCGGTGACCTCTTTATGGGTTGATGCTCAACCACTTAGCCACACTAGCTGGGCTGAGCAAATATATTTTTAATTGTTGCAAATTATTCAATGTGTGCCCTACTTAATCAATTTCTTATCTGGGGTAAGAAAGGACAACAAGCATCACACATCTTAGATTACTTCCAATTACTTCCAATTTTTCAATTTTATAAAAAAAAATGGTATAGTGACTAAAATCTAAAGCTTATAGATTTTATTCATGTTTCTGCATTAATTCCTCAGGGTGAATTCCGGGAAATGACAGGAAAAACTGCTATGGGCATTGTTTAGGCTCGTGATAAATATCACCAAGTTGCTTTTCAAGTAAGGGCTGTGTAAATGGTGCTGGAGCAACTGGACATCCACAAGAGAAAAGGTGAATCTTGATGTAAATCTCACATCTTACATAAAAATAAACTCAAGTGGATCAAAGAACTAAGTGTAAGACATGAAACTATAAAACTTTTAGGGAAAAAAAACACAGGAGAAAATCATCAGGACCAAGGACTAGGCTTACAGGGCTTACATTCAACACCAAAAGCATAACCTGGAAAAGGGAAACTTGGTAATTGGACCTCATCAAGGCGAAAAGTGTCTGCTCCTCAAAGACCCCGAGAGGAAGAAGAAAGGACAAACAGGCTAGGAGAAAATGTTTGCAAACCGCGTATCTGACAAAAAGCGTATCTAAAATCTATGAAAAGCTTTCAAAACGAAACAGTAAAATAACAAGCAATCCAATTAGAACATGGGCTAAAGACAACGTCAGACTTTGCAAGGAGGAGGATATGCAGATGGCAAATAAGCACATGAAAAGATGTTCAATGTCATTAGCCATCAGGGAAATGCAAATTAAAGCCACAATGAGATATCACTACACGCTTACAAGAATGGTTAAATAAAAAGGAGTGATCACACCAAATGCTGACAAGGGACAGGACACTGGATCCTTCATACATTGCTGGGGGGTGTGTAAAACGGTGCCGCCCTTCTGGAAAACCTCATAACAAAACTAAGTCTATGTTTATTATACAGCCCAGAAACTGCACTCTTGGGCATTTGTCCCAGAGAAATAAAAGTGTATATATACTAGTACACAAAAACCTTATTTCTAATAGCCCCAAACTGGAAAAAACAACAAAATATACTTTGGCAGGTGAATGAATAAAGCAATTGTGGTACATCCATATCATGGACTAGTACTCAGCAACAAAAGGAACAAACTGTTGATGCACTCAAAAACTTGGGTGGATTTCAAGGAAATTATGCTGAGAAAGAAAAACCAGTCTCAAAAGATTATATACTGTAAGATACCATTTATGTAGCATTCTTGAAATGGCAAAATTATAGAGATAAAGAAGAGATTTATGGTTGTGGACAGTGGGGTGGGAGAAGGGCAAGAGGAATTGCTCAGTATCTTGACTACCATAGTGTGTACATGAATCTACACGTGTGATAAAATTGCACAGAACTACACACACACACACACACACACACACACGGCCGTAAAACTCATGGAATCTGAGTAAGGTTGGCTGATTGTATTTTGTCTACTTCCTGTTTGAGAAACTGTTCTATACTATAGTCGTGAGAAGGAATCAGGACCTTTCTGTACTATTTCTTACGAATACATGTGAATCTCCAATTATATATATATATATATATATATATATATATATATATATATATATATATATATATAAAAGTAAACAGTGGTTAGAGCATCTTGGGTTTAATTCCAGGCCCTAGTTGGGGTGCAAACAAGAGGCAACCAATCGACGTCTCTCTCTCACATTGATGTTTCTATTTCTTCTTCTCTCCCCTCTACTCTCTCTAAAAATAAAAAGTCAATGAAAAATACCCATTGAGGATATCCAATAAGGATTAAAAAGAGAAAGAGACAGACAGGGGGTGGGGGCTTGTTGCCTTTGGAGAGCCATTTATGTTGCCATAAGTAATATACAAGAGTCCCTGTTTAACCCTCCCCTCCCACTTCTGGCGGGTATTTGGATGCCCAGGAAAACAAGGAGGGAATCTCTTGCAGAGAATTCTGACTTCTGCTGTGCAGAGAGCTGCCAGCACCACACCCCTCTCTGAGCCTCATTGGCATTTCAAGTGGAAAGTGCCTGGGTTGGCATTTGAATTGTCTGATGGGCAGGGACTATACTCAACTAATTAAGGGCTCTTGAAGTTATGAATTAGACTAAGTGTCACTCAAAGGCCGAAACCAACAATTTTGGTCTTCACGCAGGGCTCAATCACAGGGTCTTGTCCTAAGTGCTCCCTCCATGGGGCTGAGCTGATGGAGCCTGGGCTCTCCCAGGCACAGAGAATACTGACTTTGGTATTGATTATTTGAACTAAAAAATGGGGTTAGGCACTGAATAAATATTTGCTCTTGCCTGAATTATCTACTTGACTTTGGCCATGAAGATCTTGTTTTGTATCTAGAGTAATTAGCACAGTACAAGGTGTTTATTAAATGCTCACTGATTGGTAACAATACCCAAACATTTCTTATTCTATGCCCCAGTCCGTGTACTAGACCTATGGCATGCCTTATCTTATTTACCTCACAACCACCTCCACATTTTACAGTTGGGGAAAATGAAGTCCAGGGGTATCGTTTACTTGTTTAGAGTCACACAGCTGGTAAGCGACAGAGCTAGGATGTGAAGCCAGGTGGCCTGTGTTGCTCTGCTCTCAATCCCGGCCCTTGGAATTTATGTGTACAAAATGGCAGTTTAAAGATGCATGGTTTAGGAAGAAAGTGACTCAGTGACAGGAATTATGGGATTCCAGAAAAACCAACTAGCTTTGGGGATATTGAAGTTATTTCCAGATCCCTCCCTGGCAACCTCCCCTCATTCAGCTGCTCTGACTTCTCTCTCACTCCTGGTCTAGCCCAGGAGTCAGAATCCCTCACCCATGCAGGTGTCTGCTTCCTCATGCGGAAGAGGGGAGTGGGCTTTCAGGTGCCTCCGATGTTCTGACTCCTGCCCTCAATTCACGGACGGCGTGGAAGGGGCACTGGGAGACGATCTGGCCGCCTGTGGTGAGCAGAAGGGCCAAGCCTCTAGGACACAGGCTGCATGGTCTCCAATCAGAACCTCATCATGCCAAAGCTCTCTGTTCTCTCAACCTGCTTGTTGAATTCTTCCATGAAGTGACCAAATTTTCTCCTGCCTTAACAGAAAGCGCTTGCTCAGCCTCCAGTGGGCACCAAGAACATCTAGTGCTTCTATCAGCACCGGCTCCCTTAATTCAATGTTATCCATTCGACGTGAACATTGTCTCACAACGTGCCATAGGCTGGAGAAAGCACCTGCCTGGAATAAACTGTCCAATTAGCTTTATCTTCTCCGGGCAACGGAATCCTGGTTCAACCTTTCTTCTTTTCCCCTTTTCTCTCTTCCTTCCCCCCCTTTCTTCCTTACGTCTTCCTTTCTTCTTTCTTTCTGTTTTTTTTTTCTTCCTTTCTTTCTCTTAGCTTTCCTTTGCTGGCCCAGTCTTCATTTTTAATCAACATTTTATTCACTCATTTATTTTTAAATCTTCTCAAGAAGCAATACCCCCATATTCACACACAGCAAAGTACACACATTTATTCATTTATTTTAAAAACATAGCCAATAAGGACTTACTAAAAGAATCAGAAAATACAAATCAGTAAAACAAACTCCAAAGTAAAATCCACCTGGCTAGCTTTGCTGAAGTGAAATAGGCATGCACTGGGATTAAACTGGGTCTGGTGCTCGGTGCTCAAAGTCGACCC